GCCTGACTGTTCTTACACTAGTAATGTGTAAGCAGTGAAAACAAGGTCTGAAAAATTTGATGAGTGTCTTTCATGACATTTCTGAAGAAACTTGCTGCCCAGAAAGTCCATAGAAAATTCAAGACTGCAAAGATTCTAATAAAAAATAAGCACAAAATCAGATGAGACAATCACAAGGGTGACAAGAAAAAGGAAATGTGCAGTCCATCTTTCATGTGGATACAGTGGCAAGGCTTACGTAAATACTGCTGGTATCTGTAATACGTAAGAATCCTAGCATCCAAATGAAGTCCTCTCATGGTCTCTGGTACACAGGGAAAACAGGGTAACACAGTGAAAGTATAATATTAATCTTAATACTTTTACTTTCACAAAATTGTTACATGATATTTGATAAACACCAAAACCCAGGATTTAAGTTCTCATTCAGGCAAACACAGATGCTTGTGCTCACCCAAAGATGTAACTGAATCACCTCCAGTAGAGACCACCTGGGCTTGTTTCTTAAGAGAATACTGCTGCACACTTGCTGCTTCCCCTGAGGGGACAGAGAGAGATGTGGCTAGAAGTTTGACTCAGCTGTGATTTGGTGAAACACTATTTTCACCCAGAAAGATGAATTTTCTAACAGCCATTATTTTTAATTACCTCCTTGCCTTAAATGTGTTTTCAAAATAAAGCTTTAAAGTTGTTGAAATGCTCATCTTGGCAGTTTGAAACATGACTTACTACCTTGGCTTTGGACAGAACTGCTGCTCAATTAGAGTTAGTATTTTGCATCTGGCTTGAGAATCAGGCTCAATTAGCACGCACAGTTTCATTCTACTGGTTAGTCTGATCCAAACCTAGGACATACTAATAAATTGGGTCTGTAGCCATGAAGATTTTGCTTCAAGAACTAGATTTAATGGGATTTTAAGGTGGAGGGAAGCGTGTTATTTTAGTAGATACAAAATATCACAGTTTAAGCATTCTTAAAAAACCTGTGAACTTACGAATTTTGTGCTAATATGTAAAAATATCCTGTGGCCTTTAAGAAACCCTATTTCTCTAAAATGTTTTTTTCTTTTTTTTTTTTTTTAAAGCTACTTCTGCTATATGTTACATCTAAATGGATTATAATTGAAAGAAATTAAATTACTTTGGTCCTCCTTGGCAGAACTTGCTGTAACTGTCAGTCACGCTGTATTGCACGCACAGCCACAACGGCATTTTGCACTGTGCAATGCAGCACTATGCAGAAATATCTGAGTTAGCGCTGAATTAGCTGGCTTCAGAGCCGGACAGATTAAGGTGGGAACAGTGCCATTCTAACTGGGATATCACAATTCAAGTCAGGGTGCCTCGCTGGCCCCAGCTCCACAGACGACTAACTCACAGGTAGCTTGGGAATTTCGAAGCTATACCATGTTTTGCAGGCTAGACATACATTTTTAGACAGACTCACATGAACTTCATGTGTGGATCGTACCTCAGGTGCTGCGAAAGGGGGGTGAAAGAAGTTTAACATTTCTCTAATCCCCTCCCTCCTCTAGCACATCTTACCAAATGTTTTTAGCATCTTTACTGAATTCTTTTCCAAAACTGCAAAATTGGGAAAAAAAAATTATATTCCCAAGAAAAATGGCAGAGGAAGCTAAGTAGCTCAAACTGGTTTTGGAAGCCAAGGAGCTCTAGCGAAGTATTTTAATAAATTGTCCATGTGCAAGCCCTTCAGTACATATGGTAAATGTACAAAATTCTTTTGTCCTCCTACTTTCGGTTGTATACTGGGGCAGCTTTAGGGACTGCATCATCTAGGCTCATGGGCAAATTACAGAAGAATTTTAGATATGAGGGAGAAAAATAAAAATAAAATTAAAATAATCATTCTGAGAAATGAACTAACAAAATAGCTGTAACTGAGATTTTAAGCAGTACTTTGTGAAAGCAAAGTATACAGCACTACTGTTTTGATGAATGGTAAAACAGAGGAACTCTTAAGCCACCCCAAAGGGCAGCTATTCCAACTTAATTTCCTTTTCTCCCCTTCTAGGCTTGTTTGAAAATTGATTAATGATACTAAAAAGTAGCATTATTTTACGATTGGCCAAATCTGGACTTTAAAGTGGCTCGTATTTATTCACAAATTCATAGGCTAAATACCATGAAGTTATCCAAGGCTTTAAACACCTTAAGTGTTTAAGTGTTTAACACTTGAGTGCAACAAAAGCACTCAAGTTTACCTGGTTTCTTCTGTGATGAAGCAAATAATTTGGCTTAGACCAATACTAACCTTAGATAAGTACCTTGCCCCTGTTTGAAGATAGCAGTATTTTGAAAGCTTTATGTTCAGCCAAACTATCCTCTTCCTAATTTTGTTTTGGTTTGTTTTTTTTTTTTGCAGATTAGAAAATAAAACCTTGCAAATATGGCAAAGTCATGATGCCAGAGAAAAGACAGTCCACTTTTCAAAGAGTGTACATACAAGGTATTAGGACTTTGCGATAATCATTACAAACTTTTAATAAACTAGAAGTTATTTATATTTTGTGTACCAAAACTTTGAAATATGCACTGGTTTGGTTTGGGGTTTTTTTTTGTTTTTGTTTTTGTTTTTTTTCCTTGTAATGCAATTACTGTAATTTATTAAAATTCTAGGTTGCTCAGTCACTTCACAATGCAACCACGTATTTTGCACAGTTCTGAGATGGGACATACATTGCAGATGAAACCACAGTATCAACAGAGGGAATGTATTATAAAGACCATAAATGTGGTCCCAGCAGTGAGTCCTATTTCCATCGTTTAGATGGCCCAGATGAACAATTGCAGATTCTGCAGTTCCCAGGTCTGGGAAGCGATTATTTTTAACTGAAAGCAAAATCACCGTTTCCTGAAAAAAAGACATACTTCAACTATTAAAAGGGACAGAGAGAAGTAGACAGATTAATAGATACCTTCTTAGCTGGTGTGAATTGGCACTGGTAAGGAACAGGGCTCTGTGTTTTCTTTCTGCAGGAAAGAAAGCAGCAAGTGGCTGCAAGTAAGATGAAGACAATCCTGGAAATTTTGCAGATAATTAGGAAAATGCAGTTTGGTCTCAATACAACTGCACTTATTCTTTTTTTTTTTTTTTTTTCCCCCTCAAGAGACTTATGTGATGAGAAGTGCAGCAAAGATCAGCAGAATGCCAGGAATGGTCGCTGTATATACAATTTTGGCTAATAAACCAGCATAAAGCATGTCAAAAAAGTGCTGCATAATTTACTAGAGACAGAATTTGTTTTATTTCCCTCTGCGTGTTGTCAATTCCACTGGAAACTAGAGAATTTCTTTAGCTGTGTGAATATATGACAATTTCATTTCCATGTGGCTTTAGGAATTGGCAAGCTAACGGATTTTGGAAAAGATGAAGAAAGATGACTTTTTCAGTCTCTATGGCTGGTATTCAAAAAAAGATTCCCACCAACTTGGAGGGTTTCATCCCTTACTATCCATATGTAATTTCTGACACACTAGGAGACTTTACGCTCTGGAAAACTTGTAACATCTTTCTAATTTTCCCCACCTCCTTTGGCTGGACATCACTTGAGAGTCAAGATAATTCAGACAAACTTCAGCTCCCTCATATTTGCAACACAGGTGTAGTTTAACAACATATAGAACTGAAAGGCTTTGATTACCAAATATGTTTTGAAATTCTTACTGTATTCTTTATAGGTTTTGGTCATGCCGTTTTCTTTCTGCATACCATTAGCTTTGCATGAAGAAAAGGCTGAATCTCAGATGCCAGGGAGATTTCTGGTAACTTCTCCTTTTCAGAAAGTATTGTTCAGTACGACCAGTTTTAGATCACAGCTTGATTTACCTACAGAGTTAGAAAAAAAACCCAGTTATTGGCTTGGAAGCCTAAAATCTACATGGAAAAAATCTGTGTCAGCCAAACAAATATCTCTGTTATTTAAATTTAAAAAGTTGGTAGCAAAACACAACAGTGCTTGAAATAAATTTCTATTGCTACTTATAAACTTCAAGTTTTCTTTTAGTAAGAAACTAATCTCAAGTAGCTTTAAGGCAGCTAGGAAATCCATCAAGTGTTTTAAAATCCATAGTAATCTGAGGTGTATTGACTTCAAAACCTGGCTATAAACATCCAAAGGGAAACGACTTACCCATATGCCGTATATATATATGATCTCCAGCTGAGTTCTGAGAAAGAAGAAGTTGACTGGCAAACCAACAAATAATTTGCATACAAGATAACCTTTAAACTAATCTAAAATGATCTGTCCCATTTAAAAGAAAAACATTCACAGGTACATAAAAGAAACCTACAAACTGTATTTGTAGAAAAAAACCCTTAACAACACAACTGTGAAGAACAAAGGCTTTAAAACAGTCCTTTTGAAGAGGTCCAAAAGAGTTAGCCCAGCAGATTTCCAGAGTGGCAGTAATGTGAATTTGACTACAGTATCTTCTAGGGCAGTGAGAAAAGGGGGTTTTCGAGTACATATACCTGTATATATGCATACATATTTATACATTTTTAAGCGGGCAACAGTACTTTTTTATTCCTGTTAGGGAAAACACAGACCAGGGAAGTCTATAAAGCCTCTAACAGCTCTGAAATCCACATGGGCCTGGGGTCTTTAAGATCCAGTTAAGACAGTTACAAACCCCGAATAACCCAGCAGCGTGGCTTTTGCCAGCCGCCCCTCCGAGACCCCCGGGCCCGCGGGGGGACGCGACATCCCCGACGGCAGCCGGGCGGGTACCTTCGCCGCACAACGGGTACCTTTTGCCGCTCCCTGCCCAGCTCCGCCGTCGCCGGAGGGGCGGGCGATGTCAGACACCGGTCCCCTGCCCACCCGAGACCGGGCTGCTGCGCGGCGGGACCCACGACCCCAGAGGGATGTCCCCGCGTCTCCGGCCGCCCCTCCGCCGCTCCCCCCCGCAGCCGGCCCGCCCCCACGGCGGGGCAGGGGCTGGGGCTGAAGCAGGG